CCTGCCTATGCGCCTGGATGGTGCTTTTCCTGCTCACGGCTCTTCAACCACTTACTTTCCTCTGCTATGTTTGCCCGTGTAATTGTCTTCGCACACTAGCCTAAAACCCTGTTGGACTATTTTAAACAAAGTCATGCTAAACTATTTAGCATTTTCTCATATATTAACTCTGTTGAGATTGGAACCACACCTTCCTCATTTTGATTCCCCATTGTACCGTCCACTTAATAGGCCACCAGTAAGAAAAATATTTCCAGTTGGTGAGAGTGTTATTGGAACTCCGATATTTTGAGTTATGTCAGAATAAATGAGAAGAAGAGTAAACTAGAACTTCTCCGTTAATGCTGTCCTCTTCTCCGTGTGTTCGTACCACTGCGTCTGTCTTCAGAGAGAGCTAATTACCTCTTCCTGCTGTTGCCACCTGTCAGAAGGATGCAGCAGGCGCGTTAATGAAAAGTACTAATATTTCTACACCTCGGGGTAGTTTTATTAATTTATGAGCATTAAGTGAGATTTGAAAAGCATTCCTTGAGCCGTTATTTGTACCATTACAAAGCCCTTATTTGTGAGAGGCAGCACAACTGCCTAGACTCTTTCTCCCTCGACTTGGCTTTCTGTAAAGTTAAATATAGATTATGAAGGCCTACAAGGGGAAATCACAGTTGACCCTTGAACAGCACACGTTTGAGCTTCATGAGTCCACTCATGTGCAGCTTTTTTTTTTTTTTATAAATACAGTACTGTAAATATATTTTTTCTTCCTCGTGAGTTTTTAAATAACATTTTCTTTTCTCTAGATTACTTATTCTAAGAATACAATATGTAATACATATAGCATGCAAAATATGCATTAGTTGACACACATGTTACCATGCAGACACCAAGCTCTTGGTAGTTAAGTTTTGGGGGAGTCAGAAGTTACACTCAGATTTTTCCAACGTAGGGTATTGTTGCCCAGCTCCAGCGTTTTTCAAGGGTGACTGTGGTGTATATTATAAATGAATAAAGAACAGTTAGATGGCATTTTGGGGAGTTTTGTGAAGACTAAGTCATTGTTTTTTTTTTTTTCCTCTCTCAGCATTTCATTATGAACATTTCCAGACATACTCAAAAGGAGAGGACAGTAAACCTTAACCCTTCATGAACCAACACAATGTCAGAAATCCATGCACCATCCTGGTTTTGCCACTCTTGTTCCATTAGCCCTTCTCCCTTTGTTTTTTCTTGAGTTTTTGTTTTTTGCTTACTTCTGGGGGATTTTGAAGCAAATACTAGAAATCATGTCATTTTATCACTAAATATTTTAGTATGAATTTTTTTAAAGTTTAGTTTTTTACATAACTATAATCCTCCCTAACAATGAATGAAAAATCCTTAATATTATCTAATACTATATTCAAATATTTCCATTCGCCTAAAAAGGTCTGTGCAGTTGGTTTATTCAAACCAGAGTCAAAACAAAGTCCATTTGTTGTATCTGGTTTTCACATCTCCTAAGTCTCTTTTAATAATAAATATTGGTGTATGTCAGACTTTAGCTTAATTCAGAGTTCTCTTATTCTTACTTTTACCTCTTATTTTTAACTCTGTTTTAGAGTAGGTACATACTCTCATACTTTCATTATTACTAAAATTTATATAAAGTAAAATTGGCCTTTTTTATTGTATAATTCTGTAGGTTTTTAAATTGATTGATGTAACCTTCATCACAGTTCTTTCACAGAACAGTTCCACCACCAAAAAAAGCCAGAAAACAAAACCAAAAAATACCAAGCCCTCCCTCATTCTGTCCCACTGTTAGTCAAACCCCTTCCCCTTCCCCTGACTGCTGACAACCCTTGATCTGGTCTCCATCTTTTTTGTTTGTTTGTTTGTTTGTTTATTTGGGAGAGAGGGCGAGAGGGGGAGCCCACGATGTTGGGGGGTGGAGTCAGAGGGAGAAAGAGAATCCCAAGCAAATTCCACACTGAGTGTGGATTCCAGTGCGAGGCTTGATCCCAGGACCCTGAGAACATGACCTGAGCTGCAGCCAGTCGTCGGATACCTAACAGACTGAGCCATCGAGGTGCCCAGATCTGTCTCCATCTTGAAAAGTTTTTCCTTTCACATGTCACATCATGAATGTCACCTAAATGAGATTAAACAGTATGCAACCCTTGAGACTGGCTTCCGTCACTCAGACATCTGTGAGATTCTTCCGTGCATATATTCCTTTTCATTGCTGAGGAGCGTGTTGCGTCTTAGGGGCATTTCCCAGCTTACGGATCCACGCACTGTGAAAGAACATGGGATTCTTTACAGTTTGGGGGGAATAGGAATGGAGCTGCTGCAAACATTGCTATATAGGCCTTTATGTGATGGAAATTTTTCATCTTTTTAGAGAAGATCCCCAAGAGCAAAATGGCTGGGTCATATGGTACGTGTAGCCTTAACTTTTTGAGAAACTGGCGAACTTTTCCGGAGTGGCCGTACCCCACCATCTTGCATCTCAGCCACAAATGTATGAGAGTTCCAGTTGCTCCATATTTTTGTAAGCACTTGCTATTGTCAGGTGTTTTCATTTCAGCCCTCTAATAGATGTGTTTTTTTAATTATCTGATTTCAGTTTTTTGAGTACTATAAAAAGTTATTTTTAATAACTCTTGAATAAGCTACTGAATTAAATTTACTTTATATGCCTATTATAAAAATAATTATTTCTGGTTTTCTGGTGATATTCCATAATTAAATATGGTAAATGTTCTATATGGAAAATATTAAATTAAAACCAGAATATTATTTAGAGAGAAGACTTTAAGTCCCACCAGTTGACACCATATTTGGCAAAGGGTTACAGAACACTATCAGAATACATTTTGCAGTGGCTCATTCATTATATGTATCTCGGGCATGCCTCATTTCTGTTTTATCATTAGTAACCCATAGTACCATAACTGCTTTTGCCATCAGTTTTCCGTTAGGGTAGATTGATCAGGGAGGGGTCCACCTGGGTGGCTCAGCCAGTGAAGCGCCAGGACTCTTGATTTCCTCTGGGCTCCTGAGATAGAGCCCAGCCCTGCCCTTTATGCTGGGTGTGGAGCCTGCTTGAGATTCTTTCTATCCCTCCTCCTCTCCTCTCCCCCCCACCTCTAAAAACAGCAACAACAACAACAACTGCATTAAAAAAAAGAAAAAGATCGGTGAATAGTAAATTACATGAGAGAAACTGGATATAAGCAGAGAGTAATTTCTCTGAATGCCTTTTTACTACAGTGAACACGACCCTGTTGTGGTTTAAGAATGGACTGCTCCCCTGTGTCTGAGGCAGTAGTGAAAGCGTGTGTTTGAATACCTTGTTCTTTATTAAAGCATTTTGAGCTCAAGGAAGAAAACCATTTGAAATTTGTTTGTGAAATAAAGATTGTGGCCCTCTCTTTGGATGATTCAGGGACCACAATCACTGGTCACTATTGCCTCAAAGTGTGGAATTGCCTCCAGGATCAATTACCGAAATGTCGCTGCTAATGTTGTCCCTCCCTTCTCAAATGAGATCAAACTGTGGAAGTCTCAGGGTGCACAGGGTCATGGCTGAGGGAGCGGCCTTGTCGTGTCTGCCCCATTAGCTGCTATGGTTTGAGCTTCCAGTTGGTAGTATTTAAAAAGAGTGGAAATTATTGTCATCTAGAATCTCTGTGTTTGACTTCTGAAAAGTTGCTGAAGGGTTAGGCCTATTGACAGACCTGCCTTTGTAACACAGCGGCATCAGAAAGAAAAACAGCCTGACAAAGGAAGATGGAGGGCAAGTTGCTGATGGGCTTGAGGTTGTTGTGGTATGAAGCCTAAGAGGCCAAGTGTTAGGAAGATTTGGTTCAAAATGTAAAGAAATGGGATGGGTTTCCATGGCTACGTCATTTTTTGTTTAAAACTAGCAGTAATTGACCCTTACGTCAATTAGGATTGGGATACATTAGAAATAGAGAAGGAATAGGAAGGTTGTTACCTCCACTGGACCTAAGTCTTTGTTTTGTTTTAAAAACTGATTGTAGATGTTCTTTAAACTTTATTCCTGTTGATATTAATAAAGTCCTATAAGTGCACATATATATTGGGGGTGGGGAAGGGGCAGTAGGCATGTATGGGGCCTTAGGTTGGGGTTTTAGAATACCAGCCTAAGACACCTGCTGCCCCCTGGTGGCGGCGTATTAAACAGTGCGGTTCCGAGGCGCGGCATTCTGAAGACTGGAGTCCTAGTTGTCCCAGAGGATTGTAGGGGCGATCAGGAGAGGTTTTCTCTTTCCGACTCTGTTCTTAATTACTATCTGTGTGATCTCAGGTGAATCATCTAGTTTGATTACAGCCTAGACTTCACTCCTTCCCTTTAAAATGCAATTTTGAAAGTTTTTTCCAGCTTTCACATCTTAAAATTCTGAGGGTAATACATATTATATCCCGAAAGATGTCAAGTTCCCCTTTTTCCCTTAGCACCTAAATCCTAACAAATCCCAGATAGTCACTTAAAGCAGACTCTAGAGTAACTCCCGAGGCTTGCTGTGGGTTCATCTCCGGACAGCGGCACAGTCCAGAATGAACCAGTGCCATGATCCCGTGTTATGATGAAAGCTTACAGGTCATATCATTTAAAAAATTGTTTTTTATTGTGGTACAAAAATAACAAAACTTACCATTTTTATGTTTACAGTTCAGTAAAGTATACTCACAGTGTTGTACAACACGCCTCCCAAACTTTCATCCTGCAAAACTGAAGCTGTGCCTGTCAGACAACAGTTCCCCTCTCCTCCCCTAGCTCCTAGCAACCACGTTCTCCTTCCCACCTCTGTGAATTTGATGATTCTAGGGACCTCACATAAATGGAATCATACGGTATTTTTCCCTTTGTGACTGGTTCGTTTCATTTCGTGTACCGTCCCTAAGGCTTATCCATTTTGTAGCATGTGACAGCATTTCTTTCCTTTTTAAAGGCTGAATACTGTATACAGAGACCACATTTTATTTACCGATTCATCTAAGGATGGGCACTTGGGTGTCTCCCACTTCCTTGCTGCTGTGGATAACGCTGCCGTGAACAAGGATGATAGTCTACAGCGTTGATGAATGTGGAGAAGGTTTGTACGATTATTTTCCATGCATAAAGGGTTAAAGTTCAGTATAAAGAACATCATTCAACCATGCTAGAAAATATGGCTTTGATGAGGATGTGTAAGTTAAAGAGGGACATTTATTGGACATACAAGCCCTATGCCAGGCACTTGTTATCTGTGGTACACTCTGTTGTTTAGTCCTTAGAGGAATTCTGTGATTTGCCCTTCTCTTGGAAGGGTACTAATACTTACGACAATCACTGTGTGGCAGAATTTTTAAATGTTATTTCATGTAATCCTCATATGCTAACCCTTGAGGTGGGCATTATTATCCCCATTTTTTAGGTGATGTACCTAAGGTTCACAGAGATGAAACACTTGAACATGTCGCATAGCTGAAGGGTAGCAGGGTTTTACCTGACCATGAAGCAAACCACATCTATCGCAGAAGTTTATGTGTTCCTCATATACCGTGCTTTCTTCTGCTTCCAGAAATAACACTATACATCAGTGATCTGAAGGGTGTCGGGACAATATCAAGAAATTACACTGCTATAATAACTTATAAATAGAAAAACTTCTGTAGTGCCTTTCCATTAAATAGCGGTCCTTGGGTCTTCCTTGCAGGGAAACAGCTTTGATTTCAGATGAATTTGTCTGCAATGTATCAAGGCTTACCTCCTGAGTGATTTTACAAGTCTCCCTAGGACTTCCAAAAGAGTGGTTCTCATGTGCCAGTCCCCCCATTTCTGAGGTTATCTTGCACTGTATTATTTTTCCCCTTTCCTTTCTCCCTTTCCTTTGGCTTGGCAGAGAGCTAGGACTATTTTCACAGCTCTCTGCCCCCATCTCTCTTGAACTCTGTGCCGGTTGGGGTTGGAGTTTTGATCTGCTCCTTGCATAGTGTCCTTACGCAGGTAAAGGGCTATGAGGTGTTGTCAGAGGTGCAAGTTTTCTTGGAGCATCAGCAAGCTCTCGGAAAGACCCACTGGAACATTTTCTCACATGTGGGATTTTTAGGTTACTAGAGATGTCGTGATACAGCGTCCAAGCAACCATTTAAGCTTCTCTAAGCGTTCCCGTGCCCTTAGAATGACTTACGGTGAGAATTTAAAATCCTAGCGATAGGTGAGAGTCGAGAATGCTTCGGAGGATTCATTCAAGGTCTTCAGTAGTTCCTGAGTACAGGGTGTTGGCCAGTAAGCAGAGAACGTGGGAGTGGCAGAAATTGTGGTCACTAGCAAATATCCAGTCTCTCCTTCCTGAGTTACCGATCCGCAGTTTTATTCAGAGTGGCGGTGTGCCTCAAGTCATGGTAAAGGACAGGAAGCAGAAATCTGTGGGACTTCTGGCAGTTTTGCAAAGGAAGGAACCTGAGTCCGCTGGAAATCGGTCCTTTTCCTCACCCTGCCCTTCCTGCTTTCTCCTCCTTTGCATGAAGACATTCTGGCCAACGGACTGTCCACTGTCTTTTCTCGTAAGAGGCTCTCGAGAATGGAAGCCACACGCTACCAGCAACACAGAGGAGCCTGGTGGCCTGGCGTGCGCACACGACCTCCAGTGCCTTCTCCGCCCTTGTGAGTGCGTCTGCCCGATGCGGCTTTGCAGCCCCTTCTGGAAAGAGGCGAATCCCTCTCTCCACCCCGTGAACCCGGAGTGAGTGGGTTGAGAAGGCTGTCCTTTCAGTGGGCCTTGGTTACGTGGGGTGTCAGAGCCGGGGTGGCAGGAGAGGAGGGTTTACCTGCGGGGGAGATGCTTGTCCCTGAACTTGGAAATTAGTTACGTGTGGAAAGATTGATCACATAATGAACCGTGCTAAAGATAATGGGAGTCGGGCTTGCTGCTGTTGAAGGGAGTTGCCAGTACAGAAATTTGGAGAGCGAGGTGTGAATCGGGTCAGGTGTGTGGGTGTGAACTGATGGTTTTCAGTGCACATTCATATAAATATGTGTGTGTTTTTATGTCTGTGTCTATAAACGTGTCTATTCATATATATGGGTGCACACGTGTGTGTCGCACTGAGGGAGCCTGCGTGGGCAGCTGGTACCACACCAGCAAGAAGCACACCTCCCACCCAGATCTTGGCTCCTAGAGACCATTTTCCAGCACAGGTGGGAGCAGAGCTCCTTGGAGAAATGGCCGGTTCCAGACCTGGGACAGAGAAAGTGCGCCGGCAAGCAGGGAGGTGCCTTCTGACCTTTGAGGTTCGGTGGCAGAAGCGGCCCTGCTCGTGAGGGAGGATTACACAGGGGAGATGAGGTTGGGGGCACCTGGGAACCGTGAAGGACGAGTAGGAGTTTGCCAGGCAGCGCGCTGAGGAAGGAAGCAGTAGCTGAGGGGCAGTGGCGGCCTTACGAGTGAAGAAGGGGACGGATGACACCTGCCGCGGAGCAGTGGGACGTGTTTGGCCTACATGTGCTGAAGAGAAAAACGGGGCTGGATGGTGATTGGCCTGTGTGAGCCACACGCAGGGACTTAGACTTGACTCTTTTGACCATGTTGTCTGTACCCACCTACCGGAGCCCCCCCAGATCTCAGCGACTGCGGACAACATGCGGCGTTCCCCGGTTTCTGCTGGTGGGAGTCTGGGAGCCACTGGGCTGCGGGGCTGCGGCTCAGGGTCTCCAGGAAGCCGCAGTAAGGGCCTTGGCCGGGCCTGTGGGCATCTCCAGGCTGACGGGGAGGCTCTCCTTCACGAGCTAGCCGGCAGGCCTGGGTCCTTTCCAGCCGTTGGCAGAGACCTCAGTCGCTCTCCGCATGGGTGTCTCCTTGGAGAGTCGCACAGCATGGCCGCTGGCCTCCCTGCCGGCAAGGGATTGGGGGGGAGAGAATGCACCAGAGAGTCCCCCAGGCGGACGCCACAGTTCCCATAACTCACCGTAGAAGGAACAGCCCATGGCTTCCTCTGCGTTGTGTTCACTGGAAGCAAGTCACCCAACTGAGCCTTTGCCCAGGGGGCAGGAATCACACAAGGACATGATCCCCGGGGGACAGGATCGATGGGGCCATCTGAGAGGGTGCCCCCCGGAGCCCAGGCTGGGAACGGGGAGGGCACAGTTCTGCACACAGCTGCGGGGAGGGTGGGTGAGGGCAAGCCTGGAGGGGGTGGTGAGGTCATTTAGGAGGTGGCCATCCAAGATAATTCCGTGGGAAAGAAGGAAGGGACCTTGTTACCAATACCTGGGAGCGGTGTGGGTGGGAGGAAGGAGGGCCGGGGGCCCCCAGGGGTGGGGGTGCCTCCCAGATCCAGGTGAGCGCCGGCCACAGCGGCACTGCTTTCCCAGGACTTACATTGGCTTATGGACGACAGTGGCTCAAAACCAGCATCTGCGGAGTTTTGCAGGAAAACAAGGGCTGCTGGACTGTTACCTTGTTTGAAAAATACATGCTCAGGCTGTGCCAGTCCCTTCCCTTGGATGTCACACCAGGTACCCAGCCCTAACTGCTCATAGTGACGCAGCCGTGGAAGGTTGCTGGGTTCGCGGGTGGCCGGACCACACCGGGCTGCTCAGCTCCAGCCAGTCCCTCGTGGGGCCGGCGCTGGGATCTTCAGTCAGGGCCTCGGAAGGACCCTACTCCTTCCTCCATCTCCCCTTTGTTTGACAGCTGACCTGAGCACCAGTGACTTTACAGAATCATGTTTTCACAGAGATGTTGGGTTTTTAATTTCAGGCCTGTCTAAACAAGGTTACCTGTGACTCTGGGGCGTGGACATACCGACCCACAGGACTGGGGAGGGGAGGCCACAGGCCATCCCTTGTGGAAACCGTAGAGAGAAAAAGCATGTCAGGTTTGCTTCACTCCAGTCTTTCCCTTGCATCATTACAGTCAAAGTTAAAAACAAGTGTGAAGACTGCCCTTTAATCCTGGTGATTTCTGGGAATTTAGCCGTCTGGGTGAGTGGTTAAAACATGCTGCTGGAAGGTGTGAACCGGACCTCGGGCTTCCCTCCCGGAAGGAGGGCTGGCGGCCACCACCCCAGGGCACACCCAGCTCAGAGCCTGTAGAGCCCTGTACGGTGTTATGCTGGTGACACCAGGTGTTGAAAGTAAAAAATGTAATTTATTCCACATTTTTAACATGGTTATACTTGTTGCCTAGTATTTGTACTTAAGGCTGATCTTGAATCATAAGCGATTATAAACATGATGCTCCTAGAACATTTATATCCGGTGATCTTGTTTAGGGAACACTCGTACAGAAAATGATGGGGCACTTGAAAGGCCTGATACATCCTAAGCATGGAAGGGACCACCTTCCAGTTTCCTAGGAGCTTTTTTACATTATCTTTATTTTTATGTATTCTTTTTTAAAGATTTTATTTATTTATTTGACAGACAGAGATCACAAGTAGGCAGAGAGGCAGGCAGAGAGAGAGGAAGGGAAGCAGGCTCCCCGCGGAGCAGAGAGCCCGATGTGGGGCTCGATCCCAGGACCCTGGGATCATGACCTGAGCTGAAGGCAGAGGCTTTAACCCACTGAGCCACCCAGGCGCCCCTATTTTTATGTATTTTATTTTCCTTTTTCTGTCAGTTGGACAATTGAAGTGTTTTTGAAGATACAGGTTATCACACATGTTAAATGTTTAATATTTGGAAAATTTGCTTTTCTGGTTAATTGAACTTTCCATATAGATGAAGGTTAAGCAAAAATCTTTTCTAGAAAATCTCATGAAGTGAATTAGTTTGCCTTCCCTGTTTTTCAAGTATACAGAGCATAATGAAGCCTCTTTCACTGCAAAATTAGTAATTCTAAAGTAGCGTCAGCATGAAACTAAAGGATCTTGCTCACAATAGGAAAGATATGGAAACAACCTAAGTGTCTGTCAACAGATGAATGAAGTGTGTGTATATATAATATTCCATTATATATGGAGTTATATGTATATAACATAATGGAATTTTATATGATATTATACATGTTAGGTGTACTATATTCATATATATGTATATGTATATATGTATATATAATATATAATATTGCATATATATATAACATATATATTTTATTCAACCACAAAAAAGAAGGCCTGGGTGGCTCAGTGGGTTAAGCCTCTGCCTTCTGCTCAGGTCAAGATCCCAGGGTCCTGGGATCAAGCCCCACATCGGTCTCTGCTCCGCAGGGAGCCTGCTTCCTCCTGCCTCTCTGCCTAGTTGTGATTTTTCTCTGTCAAATAAATAAAATATTAAAAAAAAAAAAAAAAGGGAAGGAACTCCTGCCATTTGCAGCAACGTGGATGGATCTGGGGGACGTTATGCTAAGTACAGTTGGCCAAACACAGGAAAATAAACACTGTATAATACCACTTATATGTGGAATCCAAAAAGGCTGAGCTCATAGAAGCAGAGAATAGAAGGGTGATTGCTGGGGCTCGGGGGAGAGGGAAAAGGGAGCTGCTGAGCACAGGGTACAGAACCAGCTGAGAGGAATACGCTCTGAGAGGCGCAGAGTCTCCATGAGATGAGGGCTGTGGTATAGCTTGATGGTGGTGATTTTGCAACACGTACGTGTGTCCGATCATCACGTGCACACCTGAAATATGCACAACTTTGATTTGTCAAGAATATACTTCAGTAAAGCTGGGGGGGAAAACCCTGAAAGACCCTTTTCCAAAAGGGAGAGGCTCACTGAGAAATAAGTGGTTTCCCAGAAGATTAATCACTAGAGAACTTTTTTAAAATGTTGTATTTTATTATAAATACAGATTTCTGTTCCCAACATCAGACTTACTAATTAAACTCTCTGGAGAAGGAGCCCAGAAACAGATGTGTTGAGACTTCGCCTGTGTTTCAGGAGCTCTGCTGAGTCTGCTCCATCTCCCCTCCTCCTCAGGCAAGCCTCGTCCTGGGCTCCTGCCACCCCCACCTTCCTACCTGGGGGCCCAGGTCTCCCCATTTCCGGCTGGAATGTCACCCCTGCCACCCTCCTGTTTGCTCTCCAGAATGATGTTTGCCCTCGCTCTAGGTCAGCTCCCATCCAGATCACACACGAGCAGAATTCATCTCTCCCCTTCCGGATGAACACTCAACCTGGTCGCTCAACACATTATATTCTTTTTTTTTTTTTTAAGTTTATTTATTTATTTGACAGACAGAGATCAAGTAGGCAGAGAGGCAGGCAGAGAGTGAGAGGGAAGCAGGCTCCCTGCTGAGCAGAGAGCCCGATGTGGGGCTCGATCCCAGGACCCTGAGATCATGACCTGAGCCTAAGGCAGAGGCTTAACCCATTGAGCCACCCAGGCGCCCCAACACATTATATCCTCATAGTATATTGTATGGGTGTCTTTTTAAAGATTTTTTTTAATATACAGTTTTTATTGGAGTGAAATTCACATACCATAAAATTCACTATTTTGAAGTGAAGAATTCAGTGACACTCAGCACTTTCATCATGACGTACAACCCCCTCCGTCTAGTTCCAGAACATTTCCGTCATCCTGAAAGAAAACTCCACATATGCCCGGCGGTCGCTTCCCAGCCTTCGCCCCCCTCAGCCCCAGCAGCCACACGTCTGTGGATTCACAGTCCTGGTATCTCCTATCACGGGACCAAACGCCGTGTGACCTGAGGTCTCCTTC